TTATATGAGCTAATATATTTTGTCCGGTGCTCCATTTTTTTTTTTTTTTTTTGATAAAGGACCTAATGCTCTGATTCATGGTCATTAATTATTATTGATGAGAAAAAGGCAAGGCCGTTGGGAAGACCAATGAGGAGGTCCAGAAAAAGAGAGCACAAAAGCAGTGCAAGATTATCATTGAAAGGTGGGTCGATTGTGGGGTTTTGCATTCCGTGTCGGGTGGCGCCAAATCAGCCTTTCGAAACGTTATTTTTATCCATTTTTTTATTCAATAATATTATTTGATTTTTTGTTATTAACTTAATTTATTATAGTTATGGTATGATAATGGGTTCCAATCAATAATAGACCTCAATGTCCATCCAACGACAATGCTTAATTAAATTAATAGATTAATACAATAAATTAAATACAAGTTACATCGTTCTTTATCTGTTGTAAGATAAATATTAGATTGGTCTCGTATACTAATTAAATATTCTTAAATTCCTTTATTTGTTAGGTGTGAGGCTTCCATATCATTTATACAATCAAATTTGGTTTAAATTTATTCAAACTAACAAAAATCCTTCTATAAAGGACATATATATACATAAAATAATAATATTATTATTTATTTATTTTGTGGAGGGGAGGGGGACTTGAACCGTTATTTTTTGGAGGGAATGAAAACTTAAACCGTTGACCTAAAAATGACAAAATTTTCATAAGAAAATGAGTATCATTGACAAAGTACTAGTTTTTCAATCTTTTCATTAATATCACACTTTGCACTTTTCTATACAAATATTCTTTTACATTGAAAAAAGTAATGCTATTTGGACCTAAAAATCTGATCTAATTTGCTGACATAATAATGTAGTTTCATAGGAATCATTAAATCAACACTAAGTTCTAATATTTGATGGGATCTACAGTCAATCAAAATGTTATAATGAATTATGTCAATAAATTATGTAACATTGCTCTATTGAAAAACGTGAGCTTGTGCTACACTCCGGTAAAAACGAGGATTGTTTGAGAAATAAGTTAAAGTATAATACATTGATACCAAATTACAAAAATATAGAAGAATTGAAATTGATTCTTCTACTAATATGCTCTAGGAGGGTTAGATTGAGATTTTATCTAACGTTTGACATTAGGTACATGAATTGGTTATCCTCAAATTCGAACCCACACTCTCCAATTTACTCTTTTTATCTTTAGCTATTTATCTTACAATTTTCTCTCCTCTCTTTTTCAATATTTTTCTCCTTCCTCGCCTCTTCTATATAACAGTAATGGCCCAGATTAATCTTGTGGGAGTTGCAAATTAAAGAGTGGAAGAATGGGAGGGGAGAGGAGAGAGTGGGGCGGAAGATGATAGAATGACGCAGGAATATAAATCTGGTATATAACACAAAAGTCTATTATCATAATAATATCTCTTCAAGATCCACACCTTGGTTGTCAGAGTTGCGTAGATGTTCGATTTGTTTAATGCACATGTAAGTCCTACCTAACCAAATATTTTAGTGGTTCCATGAATCATGCCGATAAGAATGCTATACAATTGTACCATAAAGTCAACATAAAAAATGTTAAATTGATATTCAATCATATCATTAGCACCGAAAGTTTTCAACTTTTTTCATGTTTAATGTTAATCCATGTATTATTGAAGTGGACCAGACATCTTTAATGTATTGCTTATAACACTGTTAAGAGGTCTGTGGTTGTATCTCTTCAACCACATAAATTGACAAGAAGTTTGGCATATTTAGTTGACGAGGTTGTGGTTGGATTTCTTGTGCTACAACTTCTAAACTTTTTATCTTATACGTATTCACAGTAGATATCTGAACATAATATTTTGGGGACACGATTCAAATTGATAATCATTCAAATCTTGAACCTATTAGAATGGCGAAGAAGAAGTCCACATGTTCCAGTAATAATACACCTTTTGACAATGTTACCTCGTTCTAATGTTCAAAGTGTAATTATGTGGTTTGCATGATAAGTTTCGTCAAAGTTAGGATATGATTTTCTTCATATGCAAAATATGACCTAGTGTTTAAATATTTTCTTATATTTTATAGGACAAGGATGTATTGCATGATTTGCATCTATCATAATAATCAATAAAAGTTCCATTACTGTTTGTTTTTTTTTTTTTTTTGTTTTTGCAACCAAAAACGGCATAGTCCAAAAGGTATGACCCTCACTTCTCAATGGATTGGCTGAAAGAAATAAATTTTAATAAGTTTTACTATATCTCATTGTGTTGAAATATAAATACTTAAAGCTTAAGCTTTTGGAAATTTTTTGAAGTAAATGGTTGTTTAACATGATATCATAGCAAAATGTCTTGTATTTGAATCTCGTCACTACCCTAATTATTAAAAAATATTTATATGCTAGACTCAAAATCTAGCCTACATGTGAGGGGACATATTAAAATATAAATATACTCCAAAAACTCTTTAGAGTAAATAGTTATTTAGCACGTTGTTATTTTAAAAAATCATTAGCACTTAATGTTCCTGTCTTCACACAAAGTTGGTAAACACCACCTTCTAGGACTTAAGTGTCTGATTTCTCAACACAAGACATAAGTATCAATCTATGAATAACCAATGACTTGGTCTATATGGATAACCTACTTTTGATCAGATTGGGGAGAGAATTAGTTAAAGTACACATAAGTTGACCCGAACACTCCTGACTATTGAACCCAAAAAAAAAAAAACCCACCCAATTACCATGTCAGAAAAAGATTTTATAAAAATTGGTGGAACTCCATCCCTCATTTCTTAAATTTTTGATTTTTTAGATTTTTGAAAACCTTGTATAACATGTTTCTATTGGTGGGTCTGCTCTTTACTCTTAATAATAATATCCTAAATTCCTCAATTGTTGTTGGTTTTAATTATGTAAACTCTTACTTGGTGTATATTATTATTGGTCCATTTTTAAATCTTAATTTATATATAACTAACATTATTCCTCAAATTTGAAAACTGTCCCTATTCACTGTATAACATATATCCCTTCTGATTTATCTATATATAGATAGATAGGATTATTTCTTTAGTTTAGTTAATTGTCATCAATTGCGCACTACCTCCATCGCTTCTAAGATATTTTTTTAATTGACTAATAGATTTATGGTTGGGTTCAAATTAATATTGAGTAACAAAACTAATATTTTGGCGACGATTTTTGTAGATAGATACAATATATGTGCTTTTTGATCGTAAAACCTAGTATCTAAAATGATACCAATAGAGAACGTGAAACATGTAAAATTTTCTTATTTTATAATTTTATCTTATTTATAGTTTTCATAATCAATGACTATTAATAAATCGATCGAATATCTATGGTACTTGAAAAAATTTTGTTGGTACCATACCTTTATCCTATAAACTATCATGTACTGTACCTTTTTCTTCCTACGTCATCAACTTCCAGTGGCTTTCCCCCGTCCGGACGCACTAACTTTCTGCTTTTTGCTCTTTTAGTCACTCCCAATGCTCCCAGCTGCATCCCATTTTGCATGGTTTCTTACAACTTTGTTCTTTTAGTCTCTTTTACCTATAAATAAAATAAACACTACGAAATCGACATAAAACTTGAAAATTAAATTTTTAACAACATTTAACTTTATTCTAATGCAATTAACCAATCATTAATGATAATAATTGTGCATATTTCATGGTTAATTACACCCCCAATCTTGCTCTTGCTAGTCCTTAGACATTACGATTGTATTTAGCATTTGTAACAAACTTTTAAATTCTAACTCATCCATAGTGAACGAGTTATAGTCTCGTGATGGTTTCTACAGATAATACCCATAAACATTAACCCATTATTAAACTTTTGAGTCACCTAACCATGTCATACACTACCATAAAAGACTTGAAAATTTCAACTCCAAGCTTTAATAAGCACCTACAAAACAAAACATAGAACTAAGCGCTATACCAAAGTATTCACACGTTATATTCTTATAAGAAACTCATATGCAGTGTGAATTAATTATGCACAGTCAGAAATTGATCAAGTGCTATGTTATTTTTATCGAGTGGAATAAAAAAAATTTAATTTATGACTAAATTACTCACTTTGAACAAAATTTTTGACTTTGCCCTGCAAATAGGGAATAAGTTGAGTGTCATTACATACAAGGAAGTATTAGGTGAAGGGTTCATGGCATGTGAAAGGTAAAACGACTTGGAAAAAAGAAGAAACAAATAGAACGAATAAATACAAAAGTGGAGCCTATCATCTTAAGGCACTAATTATTAATTATCTAGAGTATATGAGGATGGTAGTACTTTGTTGACCTAAATACTCATTAAACTTTGCATATCATTTTCTCGCGGTGGTTATGATGTTTCTTCTCCGATCTTAGTATTTTAAAATTGATTGTCCCTGAACTATGCCAATAAGAACGCTATTTAGGGTGGGCTGTGTTGAACCATCATATAATCCAAAAATTTAACTTCTTAGAGAAGAGTGTAACATAAGTATTTATCTAATACATCCTTTCACGTGTGGCCCCTCTTTGAGTGGTCCATCATCATTATTGTTTCCAATTTTTTTTTTTTTGATAGGGAGAAAGTCTGATGAGATTCGAACTTAGAACTCCTAAGCTCTGATACTATGTTAAACAAAAACCCATGAATTGTGCCAATAAGAATGTCATGTGATTGTTACGAGCATCAACAGGCCAAAATAAAAATAAATAAATAATTATCAACTGTTATATACCATTAGTTTATCTTAGCATATGTATATACAATTGCACCGGGAATCTTTAATAAATTATTGCCAAAATTAGGAATTCTCTAGTCCTATGTGTTCGGCCAAGTAGACAAGAAACTTTGATAAATAATTTGAGGACTTCGTGCATTAGCATCTTCTTGTTGCAACATCCAAAACCTGCTACCATCTCTCTCTCTCTCTCTCTCTCTCACACACACACACACACACACACAAGAAAGAAGATGGAGCTTAAACATTTCACCCATGACCATCCACTGAATTTCGAGGATGTGCAAAAGAACGAAGGTACGGATGTTATGTGCTATGGGTGTAAAAAACCAATCTTAGATCATGCCTATTGTTGTAAAGAGTGTGATTACTTTCTACATAAGAGCTGTGCAGAACTTAAGCGGGAGATTGAAGATCCCATACACTCCGAACACCTTTTAAAACTTGACGCAGGTTCAAGTCCATACATTTGTGATGTATGTAAACAAAATTGGGATCGGTTCATCTACTATTGTAACAAGTGTGACTTTGTCATCTGCATGCCGTGTTTCTTGGAGGACCGCATGGTTAAACTTGCAATTCACCAACACCCATTAGCCGTCCTACTTAGGCCATCCTTGTTCACTTGTGATATTTGCAGCATGGAAGGTAAAGACTCATCTTATCTGTGTCACAGCTGTCAATTTTGGATCCATAAAAGTTGCGCCTCACTACCTTACACCATCAAGATTAATGATCACCATCATCCTCTCAGTTTAACCAAGCAGTATCTATATAATATTACCAATTTTAAACAGGATTGCAACAAATGTGACAAGTTCCTTTGGCCAACTTCTTCAGTTTACTGTTGTGGCCCCTGTAGATATTTTGTCCATGTAAAGTGCGCAACATCAGAGGCAGGGTCGTCAAGGTGAGTTTAATCATTTTGTCTTGTTTGTGTTCTCTCCCCTCCCTTCTCTCTGCCTCTCCATCCCCCTTAACAAAATCCTTCCAATGCTTTTAATTCTTGTCAACTAATACTTTTGCTTCTAATTTTGTGATTTCAGAGGTGCTGAAATAAGTAGCAGTAATAAAGATGACGAACTTCTTGAGTCTAATCCGGTAAATTTACCGGTGAATGATGAATTTGTAGATCTGGCTAGATATTTTGTTAAAGATATCAACATTAACGAGTTTGAGAAAGAAACAGAGATTAATAATGGGAGCCATAAGCATCCTTTACTTCTTTTCGATGTGCAAAATATCAATGAGGTGAAGGATGATAAAATCTTATGTAATGCTTGTGTGCAACCTATCTCCCTTCCATTTTACGGCTGTCGTCAATGCAATTACTTTGTGCACTTAGGTTGTGCCCACTTACCACAGGAGGTTCAACACCCAAGTCACCCTGAACACTTGCTTGAGCTTGGGAGATCCAGTAACATCTATTTGCTCTTCGAATGTGAATGTTGCAACATGGATAGCAATGGATTCTTCTACGAGTGTCAAACTTGTAATTTCCAAGTTGATATCAAATGTGCTTTTCTACCAAGCACTATCAAACATGAATCTCACAAGCACCCCCTACTTCAAACTGAAGGTTCACATCATGTTTGCAAGTCATGTAATCACGAGTCCTCAAGGTTCATATTCAGATGTGATACTTGCAACTTCAATCTGGACTACGATTGTGCTCTGTTCCCAAAAACTATCAAGCACAGGTGGGATCGGCATCCCCTTATCCTAACCTATCATCCTCCCAATGATCATCCCGACGAATTTTATTGTGAATTTTGCGAGGAAGAAATAAACCCACAATATTGGATGTACTATTGTCATCATTGCGACCAATCTTTTCATGTTAGATGCATTTATGACGCTTGGTCAAAAATCAAGTTAGGGGGCACTGTACAAATTGAAGATCACCCACACCCTCTCACGTTTGTTCAAAAGATGAAAGAGTTCACGTGTTGCAGCTGCGGTAAACCTTCTAATTATGAATCCTTATTGGAATGTCGTGAATGTAATTATACCATATGCTTCGATTGTGTTGATTGATACAATTCATTAAATTCTATTTTTTTTTTGTTGCAAATCCTAGACTATGATTAGTTGGAGCATTTCTGTAATTGTATAGATTCATATGGAGTTACTGCTTGACATGAAAGAATAGAATGAACTGTCCCCAATTAGTATAATTGATTGTTAATTCCTCTTCAGTATGAAAGCGAATATAGAGAAGCTTTTGAAGTTCATCTTGAATTCACTACAGAACAAACTACAAATCACAACCAGCCTTGATCCAGCTCAAAACCCCTAATTAATGTTCCAATTCATCAGCCAACATGTCTATAATTTGACCGCTGAAAAACTAAGGACGAAAATGGGACCAATATCAAAACTTTTTGCATGAAAATTTGATATATGTATTTATACCACATACCCCATGGATCAGATTGTATCATATACATACTATTACTTAACTTGGTAAATTCGGACCAATATGAACTCTTGATACAAGACCAGATCACATAACTCAACTAGATACAATATTTCAATCAAATTTTACTCCTAATATCGGAATCAGACTTGACTTAGAAGTCTTGGTTTGAAGAACATTAAACCCAAAATCTTCTCAAGTATTATTTCGCACTACTCTTTACAAACTCAACGAATGTCATCGGCAATCTAGAGCAATCTGGATTCGAACAAGCTACCTAACTTGAAAGACATCTGGATTCGATCTTCATCAATGCTAGTTGCTCTCTTTTGCTCCTTTACTTGAGTAAACTACTAGGGAAGACTTTAAAAAGTGTTTTTTTTATAAAAATTATGACTCATCATAAGCACTTCAAATAATT